GTCTAGAATTGAACTACGTGCCTCGAAAATGCATAATACCCCCACCCAAAAATAAATAAATAAAAAACATAAAAAACCACGGTCCAGCCACGAGAAGCTCTAAAAAGGAGAGTGCATCTGTTACAAGAAATGAACCACTTGTGTGGTTTTAACCAATATCTGACCTTTTTGAACATGTTTGTTAAAAAGCTATTATTTCAGGGCTCAGAAGACACTGCAGTCGTGTGTTAGCATCCAGTGAATGAAGGCGCTTCTGCGTGTATGTCACAAAATCCTGGCAGCAAAGCAAGCAGACATGTCGTGCATTACAAAAAGTAAYGCTCCAGGCTGTAATGTTTGATGGCTTGTTGTTCAGACAGGGAGAAATCTGCTGTGTCTATGTTGGAGGAAGTGTTGATTGTATAACAACAGGCAGCAGTTTCCTTGATGGTTATGTGAGAACATGAAGGCGACTGATGGTGTTCACTAAAACCACATTCAGTAGTAAGACTTGATAAAAGTAAGGAYACTCTCCATGATATTATGAGGAGACTTACATGGAGTAAACATTATAAACAACCTTCGCTGTCGTTTTCAGTCGTGCTGAGCTGAAATTTGTCTTAATTGACATCCCCTCTGGCAGAACTGTCACATGTTTTGTCAAGTCAAGCTAGTTCCAATCAACAAATGTYTGCAGTTGTTACAGCATGAGCAAACGTAAGCAGGCAACAATATACCTTGTGTCAGCAGCAAAATAGGTCTTGTCTGAAGCCCAATCAACACAGAAAAAAGAGAAATCACACTTCTGTTGCACAATGTGGCAAAATGCATGAAGTGGACTTTTATAATGAAGCCGTTTTACAGTCACAGTTATTCAGTCAGGGTCATAGATCACTCAAACTATTTTATACGGTTCATGGTCAGATTTTCAGAGTTAATTTTTCATGTTTCTSTTGTTTCCCCTTGAGAAAACCACTTTTGATTTTCTGATATTTTTTTAAATAAAGCACAAATAATTTATTTATCTATTCAAATTTGTGTTTATATTAATTAAAACAGGCAGTTATGTTGCCATTAGTTTTACTGTTTTTACAATGCGACCTTGGCAGGTCTCTGCAAACAAGGYCTGCAAAGCTATTTTGGTTATTAATTTTTTTTTGCCCACAGAGGACTAGAAAGAAACCTTCTGCAAATAAATTCAACTTTTCAGGAAACAAAAATGGATTTATTTAAAATAATTACTTTCTGTGTGGTGATTTGCAAAAGCTAAACTGCTCAGKCTATTTATCCCACATAAACTAAAATATGTAAGAGTCTAAAAATGTGCAAAACTGTCAGAAAAGCAGAAAGTGAAACTAAAATGCACCAGAAAAGGAGTCCTTTTTAGCGTGCAGGGTTAAAATCATTTTCACCCACTGTTCAGTCACAGTATTTTTGGTCAAAACATAAAATATTTATTTGTTTGGTTGTGAGATAAAAATAGAGAGAGTTGAGGTAAATATGAAGATTTATTTTTAGCTTTTATGTCTTCCTGACAAAATGCAGTTTTATCTAACGTGTCATGGAAACACTGAGCTGTATAGGCTGGCACACAGGAAGACATGAAGTGTTTAAGTAGTATATATTTTTTAAATAAATTGGTAATCATTAGGTATAAATAATGAGCACCAGTTCATGAACTTGTATTTCTGGGAGCACTGCTTCACTTAACTCACTGAGATTCAAGTCATGTTRGAGACACAAAGATGATGAGCTGGATCCCCGGAGTGCTGTTTAAATATTCTTGTCAATCTGGTCTAAACATAGACATCTCTTTGACGTGTAAGTCTACGTTTAGACATCTTTTAAACCTTCACTTTAAAACCAAATTCAGTCGATTTTTAGCTTAGACAGTCAAGGGTGTTTTAGATATTTGTTTAGACATTTTTAAACAAAAGAAAAAGCTCAGTGTGATATTAGTTGTCACTAACCGGGTCATGAAAACACAATGTTTCAGGTAAAGTGGTTATTTCCAATCTCTGAAAACTGCTTGAGCRGCAAACATTTAAATGGAATCAAACAGCAAACAAAAACATTAAACCAGCAACCAATGATCTCATAAATCTTTTTTTGTCTTTTCTGTCTAAAACAGGTCAATTTAGACTCTAATCTCATAAAAACAACTGCATTAACTTCTTTTTAATCCAGCAGCTTGGCAGATCGAGCAGTCTCTCACCTTCCCTGGGGGGCCACTGTCCCCCTGCTCCCCCTTCAATCCATGCTGTCCTGGAGGCCCAGCGATACCCTGAGGACCAAATCACATACTGTTAGAAATAAGGAGGCCTTAATGAAAAACAACGGGATGCACACTAAAGGTGCACATGACACAAGGTTTAGGAGCATATGGTACCTGTTTTCCTGGTAATCCAGGAATTCCTTCTTTCCCAGGGACTCCGTCTCTTCCAGGAACTCCAGGTTTACCAGCCTCACCCTGAGGAGCAGAGCGTACCACTGTGAATGTCACTTGTTTCATTTGATTTTTCTAGAAAATTATAYGCAGTCATCAACCTCACTTCTTCCATTTATTCTATTTATGTCGGCAGCCAGCAGCACATCATTGCAAATACAAGATAGGAAAAGCAGAAATGGAGATTGCATTGATTATTTAATAAAAMGTAAACATGTTCCTGCTCAAGCTGYCTCAAACACAAAATGTAGCTGTTATTTATCACTCAGAGCTGGTTACAGCTGTTTTGGCCTTTTGGTTTAATCACCTTCTTATTTTCAGCACAACCRAAATGTCTCCGAGGCAAAGCATCATTATTGTAATTTTATTATTTTCATCCTCCTTTTCTCATTTCCTTATTGTGCTTCCACAGTGCAGCCAACAGTAGCAGCCAGAATCAAATTTAATACTCACCACCTGCCCCGACAGCCCCGGGGGGCCCTGCGGACCCTGTAGGGAGAAATAAATWCAACGTTTTAGGGCAACATATTTGATTCTGCACYGATATTTCAAWAGATGTCACRAAAGAACATGAATGAGGTTGTYAGTGGCGAGAAGCTGTGATATTTGRGAAAACATACAACAGCTCCAGGAGGACCTGGGGGTCCTGGAAGACCTGTGCTTCCCTGAGCACCAGGAGGACCCTGTGGGGAGRAGAGGTAAAGTCAAATACTGCATTTTGTATAGACTTAAAGTTTGGAACATGATAGGATTTGGAAACAACTAAAAAAAATTGGTTTTCTTACCTGGACACCAACTCCTGGCTCTCCTTGACTGCCCTGTCACATAAAGTAAGATGCTTACAGTTTTGTCAGGGGGGAAACGAGACAAAAAATGATAAAAGAGCAGTGAACTCACCTTCAAACCCATTGGACCTGGCAGTCCAGTAGGACCCATGGGGCCCTGATTAAAAACAAAGAAACAAAAAAAAAACAATGAAATTTAAAGTTTTGCATTCAAATATTAATAAGAATGTCCTTATTTCATGCACATCTTACTTACAGTTGGTCCCCTTATGCCGTTCTCTCCTGGGTTTCCCTGTGAGCAAAGATTTACAGATCTAGGTTATTTTTAAAAAGGGTTAATTTGATTCAAAGATGTTAAAGGAACATTTCAGCAATTTTTCAGAAAACTGTATTGAGTGTCGTGTTGAATTTTAAAAGAAAATAAAACTATTTTGTTATTTATAAAACACATATTTACATCTGGAGTGGTCACTTGTTCCAGTCTTTTAAAAGGCTCTGAGACCCAGTTAATACTAGTCAAATTGTTTGATTTAAAAGCTGTTTACTGTACTAAACTAGCAGATATTTCAGGTGAAAGCATATTTTGTTTATTTATCTTCATTTAACCAGGCAAATTGTCTAACTTTCAGAGACAACCCGTTTCTAAAAATGTGAATATGTTCCTTTAAATCACACATTTATGCACAAACATTTAAAGTAATAGTTTAAATCAGTTGAAGTTGGGTTCTGCTGGTTGACTGATAAGGTACTAACTTGATAAGTATTTAACAAGTCTTGTGACCACACAGTTTCCCACCTCAAAAAATCTGAACTACTACTTTAAAGTAAATTTAAGCACCTAAAATATAGTTCACACTATATTTTTGTGCTAACAACATTGAGGGTTTAAATACATATGAATTCATACATGGACAGTTTTACAAGAGACGTGAATAGAACAAGACAAACATGGAGACAATTTAAACAGAGTAAACAGTGAAGAGACACCTCCTCGATAAGCACTGCAACATGAGTACTGAGCAAAGAAGCAGCACAGACACCAAGCACAGCTGCATGCACAATAAGCAGACTCAACAGTAAGTACTTTTTTAGAGTAATCCCCTCACTTTTCTCCCCCAAACCACCGTCAAACAGACACACACAAACACTCAATGAGACACACACCAGCACACACTGGATTCTGATGAGCGCTTTCACCTCGGGATGTTATCTGACTCCCTTTCATCTTCAACAAATTCGTAACGTTTTCAATTTTTATTCAACTTTCAGGTTCAAATTTCAACTTTTTGAGTTTGACACGGTTGCTTTGGGGACATTTTCTCAAGAGACAGATCAAGGTCTGACTCTTATCCCAGCTGCCAGATTATGTTTCTCAATGCAAATAAATTAGGATTAATGCAGTGAAATTTGCCTGCAGGTTACGTTACAGTTCGTGCATCCGGATGATAGGTTTCCCCTCTTTTCAAGATGCTTGATGTCTAAGCTACAGCCCACGGGGTGTCTCAGTGACTTTGGTCCATGCCCACTTGTATTTGGTACAACACGGACATGTTCTTCAGACCTTCCATCCAGCAAAGTTAAAGCACGCCAGCCAGCAGCAGGAAACCTACCGGTCTGCCTAGAACTCCGGGGAACCCAGGCAAGCCCTGGAGAGGATGAAAGTCAAAGGGAAGGAGACGACAGGAGGGTGGGGAGACAGTTGGGTGGAGAAAAGCGGACAGTTTTACAAGAGACGTGAATATAACAATGGAAACGGGAGAAACACAGAAATAAACAAGGATRAGACAGACGTGGGGAGAAAGACAGTTAGAGAGTGGGGTGTTAGGTTGCACAGCTGCAACAGGATCAATAAAGCCTCGGCACAAGGAAGTGAAAAAAAAAAAGCTCTATTTGTTATTTGTTTGCAGCCAACCCAGTAGTTTAGGTCTGCCAATCAAGCCTAAAAGCAGACTGGGTTATAGTTTACTCACTGGTTGGCCTGGAGGACCAGCAGGCCCTGGTGAGCCCTGCTCCAACATGCCGGGAGGGAAAATAAAAATAGTGAGGAAGTACTTCTTAATTTGGAACTACTTGTTACATTTACCTACAGCAACACAGCCAGTCAGGACTTGCAGAATTTCCCAACATTGTTTTTAGTGATGGATGTGAAATCTATCTTTAGGAATAAGAGGCGTCCTTATTTATTGCCAAAATGTTCATTGTTACCTGATCAAACAATCCTGCAAACATTGAGTCAATGTGAAAAAAATTAAACAACCAAGTTTTGACAAACATTACAATATTTACCACATTTTTTGTAGAAGAAAAGACTGCTTACCAACCTGCTGAACAAATGCTTACACCAAAAAGTGCAATAACATGAAACTTAATAAAAATGTGAAACTGCACAACAGGAAATAACATGATGTCCTTCACTTACCGGTTTCCCATCCTGACCAGATTTTCCTGGTTGTCCTGGTTCACCCTAGAATTATAAACCAAAAAT